AATCTAGAAATCAGTGTGTGTTTAATTTATTTCGTTGAAGTATTTGTTAAGAATTAGTATTATAAATGATGGTAGTAGTTTGAAACGAGAAATATTTTGATTGGGTTGAACATCAATCGATAATATATGTATTAATACAAAAGGAGGCGCTTTGATATTAGTAAAAATCAGGGATTCGTAAAGAAAAACGTATGATTCATTCTTGTCGGTTCTACTATATACGTAAGATATTACTTACTTAACTGTTTTTTGTCACTTGTCAAACTCATTAATTATTATGCCTGGTAAATCACACATTTGGTGTTCTCATCCTTATCATGATGAAGTGTTATCTAATGGAAAAAAGCGGTTTTCAAAAGTTGGTCAAAAACTATCACATCCAAAAGGAAAAAGATCAATAAACGAACAACTCGCTAATTATATCAACAGCCATAGTGAAAGTATTTTAAACGGAAGTTCGACAAAACTTGAAGGTGGTGATTATCTTTGTTCAACATGTTATACAAAGGAAGAAAATCTTTTTATGAATGACGAAGAAACAAATATGGATACTGATGATTGTGAAGAAACATTCAACTACAACAACTTGCACAACGATTCAGGTTGTCAACAATGCTCTCCCATGGATGATGATACACATGTTGAACAAGAAGATATTAAAAGAAAGTTGAACCAAGTGTTTCAATTTGTGAATGTCCAGAAAATCGATGATTTGTGAGTTCTTTTCTTTGTAAAATCAAAATCATGTAATTCTTTTTTTCATAGTCGTAATAGCAAACAAATTTCAAATGCTATCGACGAAACTTATTTCAAACTTCGAGAGTGGAGTAATACAATTGCGCAAGCTACTCGTCGTGATGAAAAACCTGAAGCATTTCATTCACTTAATGTTTCAATTGATGATGCTGCTTGGATTCTAAATCATCTACGAGAACTGTTCAGTATCAGCGACAACGAAGAACAACAACGACTTATGACAATGTTGCCACCAGATTGGGGTCGCAATCGAATCGCTAACTGGTTTGGTGGTTCACAACATCAAGCTCGACAATCCATAGAGCTGCGAACAACTGATGGTGTTTTCTCGAAACCTGAAGATCGACGAGGAAATAAATCACTTGTTGGACAAATTGAACTTGCAGTGCATAACTTCTACACAAGTGACGAAGTCAGCCGAGAAACATCATACAAGAAGCAGGTTATTCATCCACCACCATCTAGAAAGCCCGTTCCTTTACGTTTTCTTCATTCGAACATTGGTGAGACATTTCAACAGTTCAAATTGAAGTATCCAAACATGGAAATAAGTCGATCCAAGTTCTTTTCACTACGACCAGTTTGGGTGAGGGAACAAACAACTCATGAATCATGTATGTGTATTTATCACGAGAATGCTGATTTAGTGCTTCAGGTAATTCATTATTACGGTTTACGATTCAATTTATTTTCTAAATTTTAGGGAATATCAAAATCGCTTCAACGTCTCGTCACGATAAAAAGCTTAATTGAAGAAACTATTTGCAAATCTCCTTCAGAATCTTGTCATTATCGTCAATGTGCCAATTGTCGTCATTTAACAGCATCTGCTATACTATCTGATGGTATAGATATTGAAACTGAAGATTCAGCTTCATGGTCAATATGGAAGAAACTTAATTCACGTTACGAACTTCTTCATTTGACTGGTACCTTGCGAGCTCTTTTAGAAGAAATCGACAATTTATGGCCGAACTCCATTATACACAACTTTTACACACATGAACAACGCGACTACATTGCCTTAATTAAAGAGACGTCCAGTATCACCACTTTTGCAATTGTACAGGTGGACTTTGCTCAAAATTATTCGTTGATTATACAAAAAGAAATTCAATCAGCATACTATTCACGTCAACAAGCAACCATTTTTACAATATACATAAAAGTCGGTGAAGAACATCGTAACATGGTAATAATCTCCGATTATCTTGCATATGATACAAAATTCGTTTACTCTGGACAGAAATTCATCGTCAATTTTCTTCAAAAACAATACCCAAACGTTTTCAAGCTGAATTATGTGAGTGACGGTGCATCAGCTCACTTCAAGAGTAAGTATTCAGTACTTCAAGATAGCATTCGAATGAAATATTTTCTTTTCATTAGATAAATACAACATGTACAACCTAGCTCATCATCATGTAGATTTTAATATTGGCGCATCATGGACATTTAGTGCATCTGGACATGGAAAAGGTCCTTGTGATGGCGTGGGAGCAGTGATTAAGTCAACTGCTACACAACATATAATTAAAGGTGGGCCAAATGCTTCCTTCTCGTCACCAAAAGAATTTTATGAATGGTGTGTCGACAAAAATGATCGACTAGTTATCGCAAGACCTCGTCGAATAGATACATCGAACTCCATGTCAACTAAGATGCCCGAACCTAATCGTCCTATTGAAGTACGATGGCTCTCCGGTGATGTCGTCAACAATGAATTCGAAAACTGTTTAAAACAGCGGTGGAGTCAACTTTCTTCTAAAGGTATCATTTAAGTAGCATAGCTTATTGTGACAACATTAATTATCTTTAGATTCAATTACCGGAATTCGTGATATGCATCAATTTGATGCAGATACAAATGGATCCATTTCATGTCGTCGAACTTCACAATCAATTCGTACTACGATCCATACATTTAAAATGCCACCTACTCCTCGATTAACTGCTAGTCGAAACACCACCGATGGACATTAATTCATTTTTGTAATCGATTATGTTTTTTCAACATGATCCTAACAAAACAAATTTAGCTTTTTAAACTTCGAATCATCATTTGATAACACGAGCTTTCGACAAATACTTCAACGAAATAAATTAAACACACACTGATTTCTAGATT